AAATAAACAAACAAATAAATAAATAAAACAGTTGCTATGGAAAACAGTTTGCCAGTTCCACAAAAAATTAAACATAGAATTATCATCATATGACCCAGCAATTCCACTCCTAGGTATCATACCCCGAAGAATTAAAAACCTGTATTCCAAAAAACACTTGTAAATGAAATATTCATAGCAGCACTATCCACAGATGCTAACAGGTGGACATAACCCAAATGTCCATCAACTGGTGAGTGGATAAACAAATTATGATATATCACACAATGGAATAATGAATAATGATTAATAATAATTAATAATGAATAATGATTCTACATAAAAAGGAATGAAGTATTGATAAATGTCATAGTATAGATGAAACCCAAAAACATTAGGCTAAGTGAAAGAAAGGTCACAGATTGGATAATACTCCATTTATATAAAGCATTCAAAACAGGCAAATTCATAGAGAAAGAAAGCCAACTAACAGTTACCAGTGTCCGATGGGAGTTACAGAGTTTCCATTTAGGATGCCAAAAATATCTTAAAACTAAATAAAGGTGATGATTGCACAACACAGTGATTGTGTTGTGCAAAACACCAATGCACTTTTTAAAAAGTTTTATTTATTTAAGTAATCTCTACACCCAACAAGGGTCTCAAACTCATGACCCTGAGATCAACAGTCACACACTCCTCAAACTGACCAGCCAGGTACATTTTAAAATGGTTAATTAAAAAAAAAAAAAAAAAAAGGTTAATTTTCTGGGGTGCCAGAGTGGCACAGTTGGTTGTCTTTGCCTCAGGTCTTTGCCTCAGGTCATGATCCCAGGGTTCCGGGATCGGACTCCATATTGGGCTCCCTGCTCTATGAGGGGCCTGCTTCTCCCTCTCCATCTGCCTGCCACTCCTCCTACTTGTGTGAGCACTCTCTGTCAAACAGAAAAATAAAATCTTTAAAAAAAATCAGAGGGCAGCCTAGGAGGCTCAGCGGTTTAGCAACACCTTCAGCCCAGGGCACCATCCTGGAGACCTGGGATCGACCATATTGGGCTCCCTGCATGGAGCTTGCTTCTCCTTCTGTGTGTCTCTGCCTCTCTCTGTGTCTCTCAGGAATAAATAAATATTTTTAAAAAATAAATTAATTAAATAAAATAAAAATAATTTAAAAAAATTTTAAATCAGAAAGGCCTTAAAGAATGGAAAAAAGTCGGGGGAATCTCTGGATGGCTCAGTGGTTTAGCGCTGCCTTTGGCCCAGGGTGTGATCCTGGAGTCCTGGGATCGAGTCTCACGTTAGGCTCCCTGCATGGGGCCTGCTTCTCCCTCTGCCTGTGTCTCTGCCAATCTCTGTGTGTGTCTCTCTCTCCTGAATAAATAAATAAAATCTTAAAAAAAAAAAAAAGAATGGAAAAAACTTAAATTATTAAAAAAAAAAAGACACTAGGAAATGTGAATCTACTACTTTGCTCCTTTTTCAGTATTGTTTTGGCTATTTTGAGTCCCTTGTAATTCCATATGACTTTTAAAATTAGCTTGTCAAATTCTAAAACTAAATCAACTGGTATTCTAGTGGGGATTATGCTGAATCTATAGGTTGATTTGGGGTATCCTGTCATCTTTTTTAAGATTTTATTTATTTATTCATTAGAGACATAGAGGCAGAGACATAGGCAGAGGGAGAAGCAGGCTCCTCTGCAGGGAGCCCAATGCGGAACTCGATCCCAGGACCCTGGGATCATGACCTGAGCTGAAGACAGACACTCAACCACTGAGCCACCCAGGTGCCCCTAGGGCTGCCCTGCCAACTTAACAATGTTAAGTCTTCATAAACATAGGATAGCTATAAATGTTATTTATCTAAAAGTATAACTACACATGGACTATATAATTTAGAGCCTTCAGTGTCTACATCAGCAATCAGATTTTTAAAATTAACATCAACTGATTAATCAAACACTTTTTATTAACTTAAAACTTGGGAGATACAAAAATAATAAAAGACACCAGATTTAGTATTTACTAAACAATACTAAGCTCAAAAATCAAAGAACTTTACTGTGACATTTCCAAAGAGAAAATTAAAAATGAGATAGTTAGAAATTTCTACCTGATGCTTTTATCATTCACTGAAAGGCATTAGGCATTCTCACTGTATTTAGTTTTTTTAAAAGGGGGAGGGGGGCCACAAGTAGAAGGTACTTACATCACTTCCCCAGTTTGAAAGAAAGTCAGAAAGAAGAAAATGACCGTTACTACTGGTATATTTTAATTTGAAGTCCAGAGATTTAAATTAAATTACTCCATTTAATCACTGATAATCACTTAAATATTGTCTGAGAAAATCATCTTAGTTCCACAATGGCTTGCTATGATCACTAATGACCTTAATCCTACTGGGAAATGAGTATGTGCTTCATCCAATTTCCAAAACCAATTCTAAATCCTCTTTTGGAATCATACCAGATTGGTTGAGAAGCTACATCAAAAAAAGAGAACTTTCTTTTTAGAAATTAATATTCCTCTGATCTATTTTTTTCTTCTAGTAAACAGTTTAGCTGGCAGGCCAATGCCCATTTTATATCCATGTGAGCAACTAGAATTAGTTTACTAACTCTAGGATTTCACCTGCAGAGCTGAAAAGGCAATTGTTCTAGTTCCACAAAGAGTCAAATTTAAACCTCTTGGCTTTTTCACTGCAATTGTCTATATGAGAGTCAGCTCCACCCTACAGAGCATACCAAGCACAGGAAACCATTCTATACTAGTCACTAGCCATTTGTTCCACTACTTTAAAACCTCGTGCTATTTCTCCTCCACACTACACTGCCTTTTTAAAAAGTTCCTTTACCAAGTTACTTTCCTAGTATCAGCCTCTCCATCAACAACCTCGAGACTTCATACTTTAAACATTAGGTAATAAGAAACTTCTTTCCAGTCTCTTACACAGCAATCTCAAGCTTTTTATCACTTATCTAATGATATTTTAATGGAATAGTACACAAAACTCTTAAGATATTTATCAGGAAAGAAATGAATATGAAAACTCCTCAAAAAGTACCATATACTGGGGGACGCCTGGGTGACTCAGCAGTTGAGCGTCTGCCTTCCGCCCAGGGTGTCATCCCGGAGTTTCGGGATCGAGTCCCACATCAGACTCCCTACATGAAGCCTGCTTCTCCCTCTGCCTATGTCTCTGTTCCCTCTCTGTGTCTGTTGTGAATAAATAAAATCTTTAAAAGATGATAAATACATACCCATGATGATGACTTCAAAATACTTCAAGAAATCCTATGTTTAATTTTATCACATTCCATTATTTTTAAAATGTGTAAGGTACACATCTAGTACCTTCTAAATTATTCAATTAATCAGAATATTCATTTAAATAAACTAATTCCTTAATCTCTTACTCTGTGACTTAAAGGTTTCCAGAGTTTATTCAACTGTATACTATAGTAGCATTTAGGCTACCACCTTGCACAAAGACCTTTCTTATTGCATTTTGAGTATGTAGGTATATATTAAAAAGAATGTGTAGGGAGGGAAGACTGTGAACATCCAGTGACACATCAAATCACACATTTTATAGATTAGTTACATAAATCTTTTTTTTTTTTTTATTTATGATAGTCACACATTGAGAGAGAGAGAGGCAGAGACATAGGCAGAGGGAGAAGCAGGCTCCATGCACCAGGAGCCCAATGTGGGATTCGATCCCAGGTCTCCAGGATCGTGCCCTGGGTCAAAGGCAGGAGCCAAACCACTGCACGACCCAGAGATCCCTATAAATCTTTTCTAAAAAAAGATTTTATTTATTTATTTGAGAGAGAGAGAGAGCGCGCACGCGCAAACGTGCGCACTCGACTGTATGCTCAGGGAGAGGAGTAGAGGGGAAGGGAAAGGAGGGGGGACAAAATCTCAAGCAGATCCCCTGCACTAACCACAATGCAGAGCTAGATTCCACAACCCAGAGGATCATGACCTGAGAGGAAACCAAGGGTCAGAGGCTTAACCAACTGAACTACCCAGATGCCCCATTACATATATTTTTTGATGCAGAACAAAGCCATTTGGTATTAGTAAAGAACTGAGAAAGAAATGCAACTCCCACAAACCGTATAGCTACCTCCCTTGCCCCTCAAAAAGTCGTAAGTTAACTCCTTTCAAATATATCAGATTGTTTCACATTGTTAGCTAGAATTATACATTCATAACTGCAAAGAGAGACCACCAAAAATTTTAATAAAATCACAACATCCTGTCTTGATATAAAGATTACCATGTACAAAAAACTACCCCTGGAAGCTACTTTAGGAGCAAAGGGATAAACAGAGCTGAGGAGTATGAAGTCCTTTTTACTTCATTTTATTAAATTTTCTGCAAATACAGTAAACTGTTGAAGTATTTGTTTTGAAGAAAGTGAGAAGTGTTTTGAAAATTACAAAAAAGCAGAATTAAAAGTCTTGTAGTATACATATATCATTATTATTCCCAAAGATCCTCATTGCTTTAATAACTGCTCAACAAGGATTGTGAGAAATCCAGGAGAGTACCCTATATATTGTGATCATAAGAACACACTGCCCTATCAATAAATAACTGCCCTATCATCTAAATATTTTAGGTAGGGATCCCTGGGTGGCACAGCGGTTTGGCGCCTGCCTTTGGCCCAGGGCGTGATCCTGGAGACCCGGGATCGAATCCCACGTCGGGCTCCCGGTGCATGGAGCCTGCTTCTCCCTCTGCCTGTGTCTCTGCCTCTCTCTCTCTCTCTCTGTGTGTGACTATCATAAATAAATAAAAAAAAAAAAAATTAAATATTTTAGGTAACTTCCACTAATCCCAGAGAAATACAATCATATTGGGTATCTAAGGTTACCTGATCCATGTACCTCAACTAAGGTGCCTGATCCACACTAACCAGTATTACCTAATTTTCCCAGAAGTTACCAGTAGAGAGTTCAAATGAAAGCGGTCTCACATAAAATCCGCAAAAGGTCAGCAGGACCTACATACCGGCAAGTCCACACTAACATCAGTACCATCCAAAAGAGAAACCCGACATGTGATGATGGACTTAGAGTCTCCAGCTGCAGGAATGTGTGTGGCAGCTCGTTGAGCTTCTCGGAGTCGTTCCTTCTCAGCATGTTTACGCATTGACCGACGCCCAAGTGTTCTACGGAAGAAGCTCAGCATTTTTGTCACTGTAAAACAGAGAAAAGAGTATCAGCAGACTCCCCACAATGTGCAGTCAGACAAAATAGGATTTAGTAAAATCCTATGGGCGTTATGGACATACTATTAAAAAAGGCTCCTGATCAAGGAAATTTGAAAAATTAAAACTAGCTACTTTAATTCAAAGTTTTTGAAGACTTTTATATAAAATAGAGCTATGACTTACAGCATTTCTATACCTACTGGTCTATCTTATTAAGAAGCTGATAGGAGGGCAACCTGGGTGGCTCAGAGGTTTAGCACCGCCTTCAGCCCGGGCAAGGTCCTGGAGACCCAGGTTGTTGGGCTCCCTGCATGGTCTCCCTCTGCCTGTGTCTCTGTGTCTCTCATGGATAAATAAATAAAATCTTTAAAAAAAAAAAAAAAAGTAGGGATCCCTGGGTGGCGCAGCGGTTTAGCGCCTGCCTTTGGCCCAGGGCGTGATCCTGGAGACCCCGGATCAAATCCCACGTCGGGCTCCCGGTGCCTGGAGCCTGCCTCTCTCTCTCTCTCTCTCTGTGTGTGACTATCATAAATAAATAAAAATTAAAAAACAAACAAACAAAAGTAACAGCAGCAGCTGATAGGAGACAAAGAACATTTATGAAGCTTATTAGGTCTTCTAGGTCAATGAATTGTATGTACAATTGCTATATTATCTCTCCAAATGTTAGGAAAAAATCCACACACTAATATTTCCTTTGATGATCATAACAATCTTAAGAAGTTCTATTTCTTTTCTGAGCAATCATAATAAAAATACAAAAACAGGGGTGCCTGGCTGGCTCAGTGGGTAAAGCATGCGACTCTTGAGCTCAGCATTGTAGTTCAAGCCTCACACTGGGTGTAGAGATTACTTAAAAATAAAATCTTAAAAAATAAATAAATAATCACCTATTTCAGCTAAAATACAATTCAAATATTATGTTTTTATCAAATATTCTATTACTTAATGATTTTAAATTGCTATTTAATAGAATCAATTCTTTATAACATTAAATTATTTTAAAGCCACCTCTTTTGTCTTTATTAAGAATGTTATGGTTAAGCAAAATAATTAAAACAGGTTTAGTAATTTTAAAAATATAGCAAACACAAAATGGTAACACCATAAAAAGTTTAATTTATGCAAATAAGTGAGAAAAGTTAAAGACAATTATTAATTCCAGAGAAAACAAATAGTTGAGCAGAAAAGGGAAAGTAATCACAATATACTACGTGACTTAGCTAATTAAATATTCATAATACTATAAAACTAAATACTTTAAGCATAATTATAAAGTAACTATAAAAGGAGGTATATAGGGCAGCCCCGGTGGCCCAGTGGTTTAGCGCCGCCTTCGGCCCCGGGTGTGATCCTGGAGACCCGGGATCGAGTCCCACGTCGGGCTCCCTACATCTCTCTCTGTCATGAATAAATAAATAAAAATCTTGTTGGAATTCAACTAATTACCGAAACCAAAAATTAAGAAGTGACAATAAAAGCATGTTACTTAAAATGTGAAAGAGTCCTCAGAGAACAGAACTTAGTAATGTGCTATTTTTCAAAAAGTCTTCATATTAGATGAATCAACAGATTTATAAACCTGATTAAAATAAAAGCTAATTTAAAAATAAATATAAATAAATAAAAATAAACACCAGCACATTAAAAAATAAGTGCTTATAAATTGAACATTATCATATACATATCACACATGTGGATATTACAAGTATGGATATTCCTATATAATTGAGTAAATTGGCAAAGTCATGAGACCTGTCATTTATGTTCATCTACCTAAATCCCAAGAAAATACAATTTTAGATAGCTTTTCAGTTTACAAAGCGCTCATATATAACATCTGGCTGCAGTCTCTTTCTCTTCAAGTTTCCCTTTAAACATTACTTACTTTGTACTTTGCTACCTATTTTCATTTCAGCTGCCTAAGACAGGTACTTGTTATCCCACATGTGGAAACGTGTCAGAGACTCCCTATTTTTAACTCAACTCTACCTATATCTCCCCCAAGAAATGTTCTCTGATAACCCAAAGAGTTAGTCGCTCCCATCATCACACTTCCACTGAAACCTGAAAATCTTTTACTATTTAACTAATCAGAATTTATTTATTTAGGAACACCTGGGTGGCTCAGCAGGCAAGCGTCTGCCTTTGGCTCAGGGCGTGATCCCAGGTCCGGGGATGGAATCCTGCATCGGGCTCCCTGCGAGGAGCCTCCTCCCTCTGCCTATGTTTCTGCCCCTCTCTCATGAATAAATACATAAAATCTTTTTTAAAAATTTTTATTTATTTACATGTCTTTCTCATTTATCGTAAACTCCTGAAGACACAATTCCTTTTCTGAATAGCCAGCCAGACACCCAGAACAGTTCATCCTCAAGTACAACAAATGATTAGGAAATAATCTTACTTGCTCCTCAGAAAACCTCCCCAAAATATTCTTATTTTAATGAGTAAACTTAAGGATTCAATAAATGAAACCATTGGCCAAATCCATTATTTAGTAAATAATGAAGACAGGGGCTCAAACTCTGATTGTTCTGATTACAAATCTTGGTCCCTCTACATCACAGAACCATTAATGTAAAACCTCTACTTGAGAGATAAGAAATTACCAAAGATCATAGCTAAAAAGAGTCTGAATGAAAATACTAGCACAAAACATACACAATAAATTTATTTTTTTAAAACTTACTTCAGCTTATTCAACAAATTGCAAGGGGAAAAAAAAACATGCAAAGAAAACTACAGATTAAAGAACTTAAAGGGGGATCTGGGTGGCCTAGAGGCTGAGCATCTACCTTTGGCTCAGGTCATGATTGCGGGGTTCTGGGATCAAGTCCCGCATCAGGCTCCCCATAAAGAGCCTGCTTCTCCCTCTGCCAAGGTCTCTGCCTCTCTCTGTGCCTCTCATGAATAAATAAAATCTTTTTAAAATTTTTTAAAAATAAATAAAACAGACTTAAAATACATATCCATCAATCACAACGCACCTACCTTAGATCCTAATTCAAATAGACTTTTTTTTTTTTAAGGTGGTTGATGTTATCATTGGGGGAAACTAGGTGAAAGGTATATGGGACCTCTAGTATTGGAACTTCCCACAAAAGTCCAAAACTATTTCAAAATATAAAAATTTTAAAATCACACATTTGTAGGGACATCTGGGTGGTGCAGCTGGTTGAGCAGCCAACTATTGGTTTCAGCTCGGGTCATGATCTTGAGGTCCTGGGATCAAGCCCTGCTTCAGGCTCTGCACTCACTCAGAGTCTGCTTGGGATTCTCTCCCTCTCTCTCCCTCTGCCCTATTCATTCTCTCTCTCTCTCTAAAATAAAGAAATATATATATTTTTAAAATCACACATTTGTTGTTGCACATATAACGTATAAGTCTTTTTTTTTTCTGAACAAAAGCAATGATTTATTGGTAATGGCAATGAATGGAATATTGACAGTCTCTGATGAGAATCAAGCAATTATCCAGGAGCTGTAGATCTGATTGCATTATGGTCTTCCAGTGTCTTTTGTACCTTAGTGGCTTTCTCCTTTTTTGCCAACTACTCGTTTGAAGTCATTCATATTGGTTGCCTGGACTGGAGTACCAATAAAAGTAAAATATGAAATTCTTGTTGTTTCTTCACCTTGATTGGACTGAACAAATATAGTTACACTGTTAACATTCTGAAACTTAACATAACAAGTAGGACAATGCCATCTTCTTTAATATCATCCTCTGTTAGTTCCAGAGCTTGAGTTGGTTCACTTCTTTCCGCTTCTTCAAAATCCATAGATCGGGGTAGACTGATAAAAATTTTTACATATTTAGGACCCTGACCATTAATCAGGCTCTTGAAATTTCATTGAATAAAGCTTAACAGGCTGATTAAATGCCACAGTCATAAGTAGCTGTTCATCACAATCAGATTCCAAGAAGGTCGTATCTTTTAGTAAACAGTTGTCAAATCCATGCTCGTCACTTTCATTAAGGCATTTAAAAAAAAAAAAAGGCATTTGATGCCAGTTGATAGGTACCTAAGTGTCTCAGTTGGTTAAGCTTCCCACTCTTGATTTTGGCTCAGGTCATGATCTAGAGATTGTGAGATCCAGCCCCACATCTGCTCTGTGGGCATGGAACCTGCCTAGGAGTCTCTCTCTCCCTCTCTCACCCCACTCATTTTTTTTTAAAGATTCTATCTATTTATTCATGAGAATAAATTCATGAATTTATTCATGAGAGACACAGAGAGAGAGAGAGAGAGAGAGAGAGGCAGAGACACAGGCAGAGGGAGAAGCAGGCTCCATGCAGGGAGCCCGATGTGGGACTCGATCCGGGGTCTCCAGGATCAGGCCCTGGGCTGAAGGTGGCACTAAACCACTGAGCCACCCGGGCTGCCCCCACCCAACTCATGTTCTATCTCCGTCTCTCTCTCTTCCTCTCAAAAAACCAGAACAAAACAAAATGATAAATGTAAACTAGATGCATTTATAAACATGATGAAAATAAAAGCTGAAATACAGGAATAATACCAACATATGAAAAATTCAGTTGCTATATTTACAAGTATGCATATCCCTATGTAATCAGGTAAACTAGCAAAGCCATGACAATTGTCATTTGAACTTCCTAAGGACATACAGGCACACATTTGAACAGACTGGATTGTTTATGATAATCAAGGAATTACTGCCATTTTTCTTTTAGATATAATAGTAGTATATTAAAGATATGTTTCCAAAAAATCCTTATTTTTTTAAAGATACACACTAAAATATTTATAGATAAATGAAGCAGTATCTAGTATTTGCACCAAAGTAATACAAAAAAGAGAGTTTAGTGGGAATAGAAACTAAACAAATTGCCCAGATAACTGGCCACTGTTGGACATGATGGGTACATGGGGATTCATTATACTCTTCTGACTACTTCTAAGTTGAATCTTTCCAAAATAAAAGTTTTTCTAAGAAAAAAAAAAAAAAACACTCAAAATGCACTACAACTGTGTGAGTCCTAGGAAGCAAATGAACTATAAAACAAGTTTTCTGACTCTCACCTTATCTTACACCTTGAAAATAAAAATTCATTATGCAAGTAGAATTAACCTGCTAAGGAAAAATAAAGCTTCTTTTAAGATGCAGAACTATGTACTTTGAACCCAATGCCAGAAACAACTTCTTTTTACAAAATATAAAAGCAACTTACATAAAAATAAATTTCAGATGGACTAAGAATTTAAAATTAAAGAAATGATAAAGTACTAGAAGGAAACAATATATTAGGGTGAAGAGCTTTTAAAATTTTTTAAAGGACTAATACGTAGTTTAATAAAGAACTATCACAAACCATTAAGTAATGCAACAGAAAACAATGGGCAAGATATGAAGAAACAAGTTCTAAAAGATGATATGCAATGAAATATATATAAAAAAATGTTTGACATCGACAATAACAAAGGAAACCTAAATTTTAAAAAAGATACTGTCATTTAAGACTTAAGATAGCCAGGGTTCGGCAGTCCGGGTGGCTCAGCAGTTTAGCACTGCCTTCAGCCCAGGGCATGATCCTGGCATCCCGGGATCGAGTCCCATGTCAGGCTCTCCACATGGAGCCTGCTTCTCCCTCTGCCTGTGTCTCTGCCTCTCTTTGTGTGTCTCTCACAAATAAATAAAATCTTTACCAAAAAAAAAAAAAAAAAAGCCAGTGTTAAAAAGGATATAGGAAAAACAGTCACACTCATACACTTTTTTTTTTTAAAGATTTTATTCACGAGAGACAGAGAGAGAGGCAAAGGCAGAGGAAGAAGCAGGCTCCCTGCAGAGCAAGGAGTCCAATGCGAGACTCAACCCCAGGACCTTGGTATCACGATCTGAGCTTAAGGCAGACACTCAAGCACTGAGCCACCCAGGTGCCCCCTACACTGTCCTCTTTGGAGGATCTGACCACATTGTCAAAAATGTTAACAGTGTTACTCAGTAAATTTATTTCCGGTAGGATACCCTAAGAAATAGGATGTGATCCAAGTTGCAGAAATAAGGATTTTCAGGGTATACCTGACTTAAAATTGTAAATATGCCCACCAATATGCAAGTGGTTAAACAAATTATGGTATATCAACTGGTATATGACACAGCTGTTTTTTAAATACAATTGACTTAGACATAGAAAATTTCTAAGTGAAAAATGAAATCAGAGAAAAGTGGGTAAGGGGTTTTTTTGTTTTTGTTTTTTTAAGATTTTTGTATTTATTCATGACAGAGAGGAGGCAGAGACATAGGCAAAGGAAGAAGCAGGCTCCTTGCAGGGAGCCCAATGCAGGACTTGATCCCAGGACCCCGGGATCACCCAGGCATCCTGAAAAGTGGTAAGTTTTATCCTACTCTAGGGTGGGATACTTAGCATATGCACAAAAGGACTAAGACATGCAAACTGTTAAGTGAGTTTATCTCTGGAGCGGGTCATGTGGAGGTACTGAAGTCCTCTATAATAAGAATATATGAATCTGTCAAGAGTTTTTAAAAACTTTTTTTTTTAAAGGTTTTTTATTTATTTATTTACAATAGTCACAGAGAGAGAGAGAGAGAGGCAGAGACACAGGCAGAGGGAGAAGCAGGCTCCATGCACCGGGAGCCCGATGTGGGACTCGATCCCGGGTCTCCAGGATCGCGCCCTGGGCCAAAGGCAGGCGCCAAACCGCTGCGCCACCCAGGGATCCCATTTTTTAAAAACTCTTAAGGGACAGCTAGATGGTTCAGTCAAGTGAACATCTGACTCCCGATTTCAGCTCAGGTCTTGATATCAGGGTCATGAGTTAAGCCCCATGTTGAGCTCCACCTTCAATGTGGAGTCTATTAAAATAAAAATTATTAAGAGAAAAAAAGGTTTTGGGGCACTTGGGTGGCTCAGTGGCTGAGCTTCTGCCTTTGGCTCAGGTCGTGATCCCAGGATCTTGGGATGGAGTCCAGTACTGCGCTCCCCATGGGGAGCCTGCTTCTCCCTCTGCGTGTCTCTGCTTTTCTCTGTGTCTCTCCTGAATAAATAAAATCTTTAAAAAAAAATAAGTTTTCCCATATTCACTCTCTTTCCATCCCCACTGCTACTTCCATTCTAAACGCTACAGCAGTGCATTTTTAGCAACCACAAATCTGATCCCAACTTAAAAATCTTTTTTTTTTTTTTTATGACAGTCACAGAGAGAGAGAGAGAGAGGCAGAGACACAGGCAGAGGGAGAAGCAGGCTCCATGCACCGGGAGCCTGACGTGGGATTCGATCCCGGGTCTCCAGGATCGCGCCCTGGGCCAAAGACCAGCGCTAAACCACTGCACCACCCAGGGATCCAACTTAAAAATCTTTAATGGTCTTTCAGGCAGCCCACTCTGCTCTAGTATCCCTTCTGCCCAATTCAACAATTCCTTTTAATTGTGGACTTTTTTTTTTTTTTTTTTTTTGGTTTTGGCTGTTCCATCTTTCCGGAATGCTCTCTTTCCACTTCACCTCTCTCCCATTTCTTCAGAAAAGCATTCCGTGACTCCTGAGTCTAAATTAGGTGCTCCTGTAAGTACCCTTAGACTTTTCTTTACAACATTTACCAAAACTGTAATTAAATACCCAATTGTTTAATTATGTTTTTTACTGGGTACTTCCCCACTAAGACTCAAGAATCTGGTCTGACTCATTCAGCAAGATGACCCAGCTGGCACAGCAATCAGCATATTAGGCACTCAATAAAGAACTTGTCTGACACTAAAATGATACAGTGGAATTCTCGAGAGTAGGTTTACATGTTTGTTTTTTTAATGCTGGTTTTTTAATCTGAGATTTTTCATTTTTCTCTGTAAAGGAAGCTATTCTTTAAGATCATAAAAATGTAAACTGAAGTAAACCATTTACACCTAAATTAACTGAAGGTTTTTAAAGATATTTAAAATTCAAATTTGCCATGAAATGTGTATACTCTCGCATACACACTTCTAAGTGGTGGCCACATTCTTTGGTAGGCAAATGCCTTTTGATAAAGCAATATACCAATCAATACACAGCAAGTGTCCTAGATATTGATATCTTTGGTCCCACTAATGCCAACACAGAAAACGTCTGCAAGAGAGTAATTCAACAGAAGTAACACATATCATTTTCTAATGAAGTTTACTATAAAAAGAAGAAAACGCCAGATGCCTGGCTGGCTCGGTGGTTGAGCAGCTCCCTTCGGCTCAGGGCGCGATCCCGGGGTCCTGGGACTGAGCCCCCGCATCGGGCTCCCTGCATGGAGCCTGCTTCTCCCTCTGCCTGTGTCTCTGCCTCTCTCTCTCTCTCTCTCTCTGTGTGTGTGTGTGTGTCTCTCGTGAATAAATTAAATAAAATAAAAAGAAGGGAAAAAAAAGAAAAGAAAACCCTGCAAACTAGCTTATGTGTACGAATAATCCATTATGTTAATCCATTATGTTCAGCAATGTTTTAGCAATATCAGAAATGGAGTTACGGGTCATTTTACCCCTAATTCTTAAAAAAAAAAAAAAAAAAAACTGCTATTAATTTTATAATGTTGTCAAACATGGGGGATCCCTGGGTGGCTCGGCGGCTTGGCGCCTGCCTTTGCCTCGGGGTGTGATCCTGGAGTCCCGGGATCGAGTCCCACGTCGGGCTCCCTGCATGGAGCCTGCTTCTCCCTCTGCCTGTGTCTCTGGCTGGCGCGCTCTGTGTCTCTCATGAATAAATAAAATCTTTTTTAAAAATAAATAAATAAATGAATGAATGAATAAATAAATAAATAAAATGTTGTCCAACAGTTTCAAAGCCTTGGGTCTTCTCGCCCTTAGCTAAAATTCAAGAGACTCGGCCCCACAAAGCCAGAGACAGGCACGATTACTGTCACCCACCCGAGCACCCACCCTGACACGCCGGCGCCGCGGCGGCGGGGGGGGGGGGGGCGGGGAGGTCCTGGGGTCCCGCCACGGCTGGGAGCACACCTGCCTCCCACAGCTTCCAAGCCGCTCAGGTCCCGGTCCCGCGCAAACCGAGCCCCGGAGCCCCTCCGGGTTTCTAAGACGCTGACACGAACTCACGGTGGGTTTTTCCCCTTGAGCCACCACATGCCCGTCGCCAGCCGCTCTAAGGCGAGACCTGTTGAGAAGGGCGACCCCCGGCCGCCCCGGAGGCAGCCAGCGCCGCGACTGGGCAGGGGTCGGGTCGGGTCGGGCCGGAGCCGGGGTCGGGGTCGGGTCGGGTCCGGGTCGGGGTCCGGCCGGCGCACATTAACCTGCCTCGGCCCCGCCCCGCCCCCGCCCCGCCGCGCCGCCGGGGACCGCCCGAAGCTCAGGCGCCCGGCCCCATTGGCCGCCGCCGCCCCTCCCCTCCCGGCAGGTTTAATATTTGGCCGGCGGGGGCCGCGGCGTCCCGGAGCGAGGCCGCGAGAGCGGAGCCCCGGCGCGAACCAGGACGGGTCCCCGGGGCGCTGAGGCGAAACGGCGCGTGGGCCGAACCGGTGTGGGCAGTGCAGCCGGGGCCGCCGGGCCTCGCGCTCACCTGGGCTGGCGACCGAAGCGCGGTGGCGAAGGCGGCGCGGAAAGCCGGCGGCGCGGGGGCACGGGTCCCGAGCGAGCCCGGGGAGGGGGCGGCTCCTCGGCGGACGCCGAGAAATGGCGGCCTGAGGCGCACGCCCACCCGGCGCTAATCCTCCGAAGGACCCCAGCCGGCCGCCGGCCCGCCCCTTAAAGCTCCCTCCAGGCTCCGCCCCCGGGAGGCGGGGCGCTCGGCTCTTAAATGGGCAATGACACCGCCCCGGAAGTCGCCCGGCTGAGCGAGACTCGGCTTAAACCGGCGATGCCAGGCCCCGCGGAAGCGGCAACCGGCGCTGGAGGCCCGCGTCCCGGGCTGGTTTAAAGGGGCGCAGCCGAAATCCCGCCCGGGCTCTCCGCCTCCTCCTCGGAAGGGGGTGCTCGCCCGCCGAAAGCCCGCAGATCCGTCCCGCGCGGAGGCAGCTCAGCGCCTTCCGAGCCCAGCGTCAGGTGCTGCTCGATTCGTCCATCCATTCGTTCCAGAAATTAATTCTTTCAGCAAATCCTTGCTACCCCGTTGGCAGAGGACCTTTCCTTGCAGTGGGGAGAAGGACGGTAACAAATGCATACCGAGTAGTGGTATATCTTGAAGAAAAAAGCAGGGAACAGGGAATAGATTTCTGCTTAACACAGCGTGGTCAAGGAAATCCACTGCGACTAGGGGAGCGTTCTTTGTGCAGGTAATTTGTGAAATTGCCTAACATGGGCCAAGCTGTTTTCTAGACACTGGAGATAGGGCAGGTAATCAAGTCACACAAAAATCCCTCATGCACGGGGAGCCCCGGTGGCCCAGCCTTCGGCTCAGGTCATGATCCCGGGGCCCTGGGATGGGCCCCGCCCCGGGCTCCCTGCTCAGCGGAGTCTGCTCCTCCCTCTGCCTCCACCCTCCCCCCTGCTCCTGATCTCTCTTTCTTTCTCTCAAGTAAATAAAATCTTTTTTTTTTTTTTTAAATGCGTCGTGTAGCTTAAGTGCTAGCAGAAAAGACAGAAAATAAGTGAGGTAAATTAGTAAAATTAAAGACTACGTCAGGCAGTGCTAAAGGACAGAGGAAAATCAAAGCCGGAGGCAGAGGGAATAAGGAAGTGGTCATTTTTGATAGACTAGCTAGGTAAGGAGGAAGGTGTCCCTAAGCAGGTGACCTTTGAGTGCAGATGGAAAGGAGGTGAAGGAGTGGCTCTGTGGACTCCTGGGGGAAGAGCAGAGGTTAACCCCGAAGGCCCCCGTTGAATGGGTGTTTGGTCTGTCAAGGAAAGCCAGCATGCCCAGAGTAAATAAATACAGCCATGGAAGATGCCAAGCCAGGGAGCAAAGAGCTGTGAGGTGAAGGGCCTTGTGTGTGTGCCTGCTCAAGGTCTGAGTCACTGGGAGGTGTGAGGATGGGAAGTCCTTGAAGGCCCTGCTGGCTGAGATGAGAAGCAGCAAATAGTCCGCCTCTACTGGAGATTTGGCACTGTCTGTCCTCCACCAACCCAAGACTTGATAGTTGGGCTTGGCAGGGACAGCTGGTCTCTGCACCTCGTGGTGTTGGCTAGTGCAGCCCAACAGGAGCTGTAGTTACCAAAAGTTACCAAAATGGCTTCATTCATCTCACCCCGGGGAGGCTGAAATGATCAGCTGGGTTCTGCCTGGCCCTCTTTCTCCAGCAGGGTAGTTGGGGTGGCTCAGGCCCTGAAGCCTATTAAGGGAAATGCCCAGAAGTCACATAGTGTCACTTCTGTTGCCCATTATGGTCAAAGCAAGTCACAAGGCCAGGCCAGTTTCAACTGGGTTGGGAATAAGATCCCACTTTTTTTTTTTCTTTTAGATAAATTTTCTTTCTCTACTTTTTTAAAAAAACTTCATTGAGATATGTATGTCACATATAATACAAGTGACCCATTTAAAGCTCACACTTCGGTGGCATTTAGTATATTCACAAAGCTGCGCAACCATCATTACAATCTAATTGTAGGACATTTTATTTCACCTCATGGGAGAAGCAGCATAGGAGTACAGGGATGGGAGGAGTTGTTGAGAGTCATCTCTGTATCCTTATCTCAATAAAAAAAAAGCAATGTTGATATAGGAGGGTGGGAAGCCGTGGATATAAAGATGAAACAAAAAAAGGGCCAGTTTGAAGCTGAGTACATAGGTACATTGAACTATTTTATGTACAGGTTTAAAATTTTTGAATAAATTTTTTTTAAAAAAAATGCTGTCTGGACTATGTACTTTTTGGAAAACCTTCATGTGTACCCACAGGGGGCTGATTACCCCAGTTTGAAAACTAGTCTTTTTTTTTTTTTTTTTTTTTTGAGATTTTATTTATTTAGTTGAGAGAGAGAGATGGAATGAGAGAGCACACAAGCCGGGCAGGGGCAGAGGGAGAGGGAGAAGTAGGCTCCCCACTGAGCAGGGAGCCTGATTCAGGACTCGGTCCCAGAAACCCAGGATCAATGTTCAACCACTGAGCCACCCGGGCAACCCTATGTAAGATTGTTCCTAATAACAATTTGTCCCCAAGACAAAAATGTTCTCTTCAACATCCTTATTTTGTGGCAAATTGGTCCCCTAGCTCCCACCAAAGACAGAGAAGTCTCTCTCCTTGAACACAACCAAACTAAGTAAAAATGCATTTGGTTGTCAGTGATAGACAATACAGTTAACTGTACTTAAATAAGGAGTTTAATGTTTTTCACACAAGTAATCTAGAGGTAAGTAACTGCCTAGTGTTGGTTCAACAATGCTCTAAGGACCCTAAACACGTTTACTCTTCCTGTTCTGCCATCCTTAGCATGTTGAGTCTGGTTTTTATGCTTCTAGCCTACTGGCCACAGAAGGGCTGCAGTCCCTCCAACAATTCTGAGTTTTCTGAATGAAAGGGAAAGGGGGAAAGGCCTTCCTGAAGCCTTGTCTTTTCATTCAGGGAATAAAGCCCCACCATCCCCTGTGTCATTAGTCAAAACTAGATTACCTGCCCAGATTTAGACCACTTAGCGACCATAGGGTAAGAGAACACCATGACTTCTTTACACCAGTCCTAATTCACTCTTTTGGTTTGGGGAAAAGCCTGCTCTCCAATGTGGGCTCTTCATTAACTTCTTGAACAAATCCAAGTTTTTTTTTTTATTTTTTTTTTTATTTTTTTATTTATTTATGATAGTCACACACAGAGAGAGAGAGAGGCAGAGACACAGGCAGAGGGAGAAGCAGGCTCCATGCACCAGGAACCTGATGTGGGATTCGATCCCGGGTCTCCAGGATTGGGCCCTGGGCCAAAGGCAGGCGCCAAACCGCTGCACCACCCAGGGATCCCAAATCCAAGTTTTATTAGCAGGAAAAGGGGAGTGTTGCAAGGAAGAGTGGCTATGGGTAGACTACAGAGGGTGCCTACCACAAAAACCCACTTTTTTTTTTTTTTAATAACCCACATTTTGGTGGAAGAGTCCTAACCCATGGAAAGATTTTCCATTATTGAGCCGAGAGGTTTTACAAGAGGAAACTGTTTAGAATGGAGGTGAGAGGCCAGCAGGGGGAGCGCTCACACTGCTCCACTGAGACCCAACAGGAAAAGATGTACCTTGCAAGTAGATACTGGTTTAGCTACTACATTATTATCCCAATAGGAAGTAGAATGGTTTTTCTCCTCCCCAGCCAATAAGAGACCGTCACAACGCAATCAGTGAAAAGCCCCTACACCTGGAACACCCAGTTTATGTCAAAGGACCTTTGGTCTACAGCAGCTGTCTCAACTTCCCACTCTATAAAAGAGCCATCCTCTCCTTTGTTTTCTGAACTTGCCTATGGTTTTGCCATAATTGCTTGTTTTCCCAAATGTTTGCCAGTGAAATAACTGGCAGTTTTAACAGAACATCTTCACTCTAATTTCCATTTCTATCTTAGGTCCTGGTTTGCTCTCTGGAGTCACACAAAAAGAGGTAGATACAATTTTCTGTGTTCTGAATATCATACAACTGAGAGAGGGCTGTTCAAGTGAAATAACACAAATGTAAAGATTTTTTTAAAAGATTTTATTAATTTATTCATGAGGGACACAGAGAGAGGTAGAGACATAGGCAGAGGGAGAAGCAGGCTCCCCTGCAGGGACCCTGATGTGAGACTCTATCCTGAAACTCTGGGATCATGATCTGAGCCAAAGGCAGAAGCTCAACCGCTGAGCCACACAGGCATCCGAAATGTAAGGATTTAATAGTACAGGGTCTTGGAAGGGGGCCATACAAGTCAGGAGACCTCAAGTTTCAACCTAATTATCTTCATGGTAAATCCGCTTCTGCCCACAAAAAGAAACATAATTCCTCTTTCACATCAGAACCCTTTAAATAATCAAGGACATTTGTCCCACGCCTGCAAAATCTTCTCTTGTGCTGATTTCCAAGAAAGTAAAGCACTCTCTAAAAAAAAATTTTTTTTAATTGGTCCACACTGGTGGAGTTGCTCATGTCAAGGTATTCTGAGCAGAGTGGAGCAGAGGGAAGTCCAATGTAAGACTAAATCTTCCCAGAGACTGAAGGATCTTGGCATTCCAGAAAGTCTCCATTGAGAAGAGAATGCTCTCAGGAGAGTGGGTATCATGAAGAATTCATATGTCAGACACTTGGAGAGCATTACCTATTCAAAAAATGTACACAAATAAAATAAATCAAGAAACAAACCCAGTCATGAGGAAACACACTAAGAGAGAGAATGCTATATGCAGACTGCAAAGAGCCTAAATTTCAGAAACTAAGACATCAAAAGCCACTTTCAAGTCTGATAGGATAGATGATACTACTTTCCTCACAGGAGAGTTAGGAGCGTTCCAGAAAACAAGTTATCTGAAACTGTTTTCAAAAGTGTACAACACGACATATAAGAGGGTATAAATACCGCAGGCTGGGGATGCAGATAGATGAGGGTCTGTGAAACGGGAGTCATCACGTGTGCCTAATTTCATGTGATTTGGTAGCTCCTTTACCCAGCTAAATCCTTCCTGAGCCACAATCTCCTGTTGGAAAGTCCACTTTTTCTCTCTCTGCAAGTATCTCTGGGGGGGGGGGGGTAGTAAGATCTTAAAGTCATACTAGAGTATTAGCCATGCAGGCTAATTGAAGGACACCTTCAAAGACTGGGGGATGGCAGAGAAGGGACACAGAAGAGTGAATTGAGGACAAGTCACTCCTCTCTTC